GCCGGGTGGCACCTGGCGTCCCCGGCTCCGCGCTGCGGGCCCGGGGACCACACCCGCTCCCTCCGGCCCGCCCCCTTCCCCCCCCCCCCGCCCCTCTCCCCGGCACCCGGACTCGCCGCAGGGGGCGGAGGCCGCCACCGGCCCAGCTGGGGCGCGGGGCGGCCGGGCAGGTGAAGCCCCAGCCGGCAGCGGCCCGAGTGCGCTCCCCGTCGGGCGTGGGGAGGGGGGAGGGCGGAGGGCGCGGGCCGGACACGCCCATCCCTGCCCCTCTCACTTCAAAGGGAACTTCGTGGGAGGGGGGAACAAAGAGAAAGTGAAACTAGACGGAGGACGAGAGGGAGGGAAGGAACGCGCCCAGCCGGTTTCTGGTTCTCAGACCCTGGTTCTCAGAGAGTAAGGAGGACAGCCCGGCGGCCCCCTGCCCAAGCCCCCAGGGCCCGCGCTGGGAGCCCCGTGCTGCCCCCACCCCCCACCCGGGGCCACAGCCCACGCCATGCCCCCCTCCCCCCCAGCATGCGTCAGCACAGCCCCAGGCGCTCCGGCCCACTTAGTCACCTGGAGATGTTGGGGCCCGACCGGCAGCACCCTCGGGGGACTCTTGCGGGGAGCTGCCTGCTGCGGGCAAATGGGGGCTTGTGGGGGTCTAAGCTTTAGGAAAGAGAGAAAGTGTGGACGGAAGTAACCTGAAGTCCTCGGCCCTCATTTTGAGCCGCTGGTGTGGCCGCCTGGGGGAGGGTGGCGGGGGCTGAATTCAGGGCGACACACACACACACACACACACACACACACACACAGCCCCAGGAGACCAGCGTCCTCTTGGCTCAGGGGCCCGAGTTGGTCCCAAGCCAGGACGCCGCAGCCACCGAGTCACGATGGCCACTAGGCCTTTTCACCAGCGCTGTTTGTGGTTTGGAGCCGTACCCCTACAGAGGGGGTAGCGAAGGTTTTCCTCTGCCATGTTGCAGCTGGAGAAACGTTCACAGAGGGGCCGGGACTTCTCAGAGGCCAAACGGCTCTTGGTGGGGACCCAGTGCCCAGCACCCAGCACCGCGGCTGAGTGCACGGCCTGAGCATCTGTGTTTGAGGTCAGGCACCAGGGCAGGGGTGGGGGATGGGATGGGGGCACAGAGGCATGTGACCGAGGGGACAGAGCTTGGGAATTTCTCCCCGTCACCACCACTGCCATCACCACATGGGCCGGAAGAGCGCACCTCTGCGTCTCCAGCAACCGGGCGCAGCCCTGGTCCAGGGCAGACCCCTCCCCACACGCCCTACCCCCGCCCCCCCAATCCAGCAAAAGTGGGTCACTGTGTCCAGCACCAGACAGGACTGGTGACGGAAGGGTGACATTACAGGAACCTGTGGACCCCACTTGCAGCAGAAGATACTGAAGCGTGTCCCGAAAGGGAACGTCCTGCCATGAAGAGAAATGAGTGGGGTGGCCTGGGGGCCCTGAGAAGTCTGGCTTTATGATGGAAAACACTGGGTAAACACAGATAGTGGCCTAAGTGAGAAACAGATGTTTCCCAGAGATAACCCTGGGATCCCGGTGATCTGAGATGGGCCGCTGGGAGCTGAGGCCTCTCCCAAAGCGAAATTAGTGGGTGTGAGCAACGCAGGTCTCCTCCTGGTGCCACCGCCGAGACCCCGTGGGGCTCAGGATGCCTCCCACGTCTATCCGGCACCAGCTCCCACAGCTCACCCCAGCCCCCGTGCCGTGTCCCCCGGGGGCGCCTTCAAGAGGTGAGGAGGCTGCCCCAGTGCCAGGCGGGTCCATAGCCCGGTGTGCCAACGTGCAGCCTGAGCGCAGGACCGGGCCTTAGTTTCTTCAGCTGTGAAAGGGGAGGGAAGAGAAGCCCGTGGCCTTCCGGCAGCCTAGTGGGGACGTAATCAGCTAGCACGTGGCGGAAGGTGACCCTCCCCTGCCATCCCCGAGTGGCCACTCCAGCTCACACGGTGCATGTTGGGACCCAGGGGACAGGCCCTTTGCTGCCCTGTTGCTACCGGGTGATTGTCAGAGGAGCTGACTACAGATCCACACCGGCCTCTTCCCAGGGACACAAAATGGCCCTGAGGAAGTTTCCAGGCATGCGCCTGTGACTTTCCACAGCCTTCTGAGACACACACGCCCAGCCCGGGAGCCGCTCCTTGTGGGGCTTTGTGTCCCACAGCTGTGTGCGGGGGCCCAAGAACTGGGGGCCTGTCCCCACCACCTGCCCTCAGCCGGGCGGGGGAGGGGGGGGGGGAACGCGCTGTTCCCTCTGCCTGGCTGGCAGAGGCTTCTCACCTGTCATCAGTGAGCCACCTGGGGAAGAGCCAGGCCAACATGTGCTCTCCCTGGGACACCCAGGACAGCGGGAGCGTCCACACCGGCAGGTTAGGGGGACGCTTCGCCACTGCCAGGTGGGGGAGGGTGTGGCCGTCACGGCCTGGGGCTCCTCGGGGTCTGAGGGAAGGGCAGGGTGTCGAGGGCCCAAGGGACGGCTGCTTCCGTGAGTTGCTGTGCCCTGGAGGCAGAGAAGACACGGAGGGGCGCTGCCCCAAGGGACCTGAGAGGTAGCCTCCCCCAGGCCTGTGTCCCACTGTCCCACCCCACCCCCACCCCGGCAGCACAGCAGGTGCTCCTGACATCAGGCCCCCAGCTCCCTTCTTCCCCCACACCCCACTCTCGCGGCCTCCATCAGGGTGTGGGGCAAAGGCTCCTCGGGACCAGCCACGCTCAGGTGGTGTTACCTGGTTGTGCAAGGCCCGGGCACACCCGTGTCTGGGCGAGAATCTGGAAGGCCGCCAGCCAAGGTGCCAGCCCGGGCCTGGGAACCAGGCTGAGAAGCCTGGGGGTGCGGGTGGAGCCTCCCCCAGCCCGGCCCACCTGGGAGAGGCCCCAGCTGCACGGTGGGTGCCAAGGGCGAGCTCTTTGGGGTCACGCTTTTGCCCAGTATCTACAGGGCACATGCCCTCGGGCTGGGCCCGGCTCTCCCAAGCCCCCAACCCAGGGGCCAGACGGATGGACGGGCAGACGGGAATCCTCAAGTGGGCCTTTAAAGAGCTTCCAAGGTGGTGGAGAACCTGGATGGAGGTATCCCCTCCCCCCTCCCCCTTCTCCCCGCCCCCGTGCTCCTCATGCTCAGCAAGGACGGGTCAGGCCTGGGCCCGAGGGGGCCCTTGCCCCACTGGGCCGCTTACAATTTGGACAGAGAACCAGCCAGGGGTCCAAACACCTGATTTCATTCCCAGCCGGGCCTCCCACGAGACTCGTGGCTGACCACCGGCCCTGGAGGGCCACACCCACCTGCCCGAGGCAGCATGGTCACCCGGGCTGTGGTGACTAGGCAGCCAGGGCCGGCGCGGGTCACCCTCTCAGGCCTCCCTAGGCAGGGGCTGTGGGCACATTGGGCTGGACTGAACCTTGAGGAGCAGCCAGACAGACTGGGAGGGGCCGGGAGGACTAGAGAGACAGTTGGGTCGGTCCGGTCTGGTCCGGTCGGTCCGCACAAGGGGAGTCGGGCAGAGGCAGGTATGAGTGGGGGCTGCTGGGAGCAGGGACTTCAAGTGTCAAGAAGGAGAAGGAGCAGACAGATCGAGGAGATGGGGCAGAGGTTGTCTGGAGAAGTTGCAGCCTGAACAGTGATCTGGAGGAGGAGGCAGGACAGCGGGGGAGGGCCGGCCGGCGTCCCTCACCCCCGGGGGTGCTGAAGACACGGCCCTTTGACCCAGAGCCTGGGGCGCGACTCCCCACACACATACCCACAGTCCTGGGACCCACAAGGACGCGCTGGAGCTGGGGTCTGGGGACCGAGGGAGGTCCCCAGAGAGACTTTATTGCCGCTCTGCCCGACCGAGACCTTTAGGCTGTGTGCGAGACAGAGCGGGGAGAGTCCCGGCAGTGGGGGTACGTCACAGAGTCGTGGGGTGGCGTCCCTCCAGCAGGCCACAACAGGAAGGAATGGCTTGTTCCGCAGCAAGGCAGCTTCAGGTTAGACACCAGGCAGCACTGCCTGAAAACCGGAGGTCTCTTGAGATCTCTTCCCTGGGCACAGGCGGTGTGTGGGGGCAGGGCAGACGGACAAGTCCTTTCCCAGGGAGGGACCCAAGGACCTGAGCAAACCCAGCCAGACTTGAGAGTCTTCTGGAGGGCCAGATGACGGAGTGGGGGGATGGGGTGTGAGGTAGGAGGCAGGTGGGAGCCCCCCGCCCAGTGGGGTGGGGCAGGGTGGGCGGGACACGCAGTAGAGGGGTCTGAGGTCCCCTCCAGGCTCCAGGAACCTCTTGGCCATGGCCGGGGCCCTCTGGTGCTCTGGTAGGGTGCGTCACAGAGTGGCCTGACAAGACAGAATACAGGAGGTGTGAGGTTGACCCTTCCTACGGGAAGCCCTCCCGGATTGCGCCCTTCAGCGCTTTTTGGCTCCGCCTACACAGTGTGTGCCCCACCTACAGAAACAGCTCCACAGGCCTAAGTGACTTTGACCCACCTCAGCTTCCTGTGGCTCGGTCCCCAGGACTGGCCCTCAGACACAGGGGGCCACAGTCCAGCGGGGGAGCCTTCGGTCCTGTGTGGGGCAGAGGGAACTTACTGCGCCTGGGGCCTGGACAGCAGCCCCACCCTGGAGGTTCTGCAGAAAGGTCACCACTTCCAGGTTTCCAGCTGCTTCTGCCTACAGGAGGGTGCACGTGGGGGCGGGGCTGCCTCAGGGACACTGACCAGCAGCCTGGCCCCTGACCACCCACCTGGATGTCTTCCCTGGCTCTTCCCACCCACGCCCGTGACTCCTTGTCCCCACAGCTCCGGGGCCAGGGACCAGGAGAGCAGGAGTCTGGACATCGGGTGGGGGGAAGAGGGGGAGCCAGGGGAACGGTCAGGAAGTCTTCCTGGAGGAGGTGGCCTAGGAGAGGGCGGTGGGGGCACTGGTGGCACTCACAACAAGCAGGGCACTGCGCCCGTCATAGCCTGGGCAAGCCAGGTCAGCCCCCGCCCGCCACCATGACTGCAGGCCTTCGAGGTCCGCCCTGGAAGCCAGCCTGGAAGAGGGAGCAGAGGAGGGGTGCCGTCAGGACCCCAGGCGCCTTTACAAAGCCAGTCCCCAAACAGCTGACCCAGCGGCCAGGGCAGGAGGGCAGCGGTGCGGGGCTCCCTGGGGGCCGGCCAGGGGCCCGCAGTCTGGTTTCACCCAGAGGGGGTGACTGTGGCTCAGGTGGAGGGCGCACGCAGGCGCACACTCACACAAGTGTGCATGCGCGTGCACACATGCCCCACGTGCATGCCAGTTTCATGTTTCACAACACCGCTCTCCCTGGGCGGGGTCCGCAGAGGCAGGAGGAAGTCTGCGCAAGCCCAGTGGTGCAGGGAGACACGCGGGAGACCCTCGGGTGGCCTGGACCTGCGTGGCGGAGCAGGTGCCCACTGGGAGAGGGACCTGGGCCCACCTGCTCTGAAGAAGAAGGAGGGGCCCTCGCGGGGGTCCTCCCCTCCATCCTCACCCTCCCACCCCCCCTCAGGGGAGCCCACTCCCCACCCGGGGGCCGAGCCGGAAAGGGACCGAACACCAGGTGTGCTGGCCCGGGGCAGGGGGTGCTGCAGGGGGAGGCCTACCCCCCCAAGGGGCCTCAGTGACACCCCCCTAGTCGGGAGACAGCAGCGGCAGCCTCCACAGCGGCGCCGAGCTATCTCTGGGGTGAATCACGCTGGGTGGCAGCACCAGGCCCTCCCGGACCTGTCGCCAGCCTCCCACAGGCTTGTCTCTCGGAAGGGCCCTCAAACGCAGCCAAGCAGCTCAGGCTGGACAAGCCCACCGCCAGGTCCGGGACGCTCGGTTTCACCACTTGTCAATGGAGCCCTCAAGGCCCACCTGGCCGTGCAACCCTGAACCAAGTCACCCCAGAAGTCCCTGCAGGGCCACGGCCAGTGGTTGTGAGCGGGCCCCTCCCTTGCTAGGTCCTAACAGACCCATCCCATGTGAGAGTTCACCTTGTCCCTGTCACCTGAGGAGGGCAGGGCCTGGGTTGCCCACCCCCCCCCACCCCCCCGGGGACACAAGATCAGAGCAGGAGAGCCTGAGGCCGGGTTCAGACCCAGAGGGGCCTGTCCACCCCACCCCACATCTAGGACTGGGGCCCCCAGGGTCGAGGGGGTGGGGGAGGCGCTGGCCGGTGGGGACGAGAGGGCCAGAGCCTCGGGGCCTTCTTGTGAGCAGAGAGCTCACCCACGCCTCACTCCCGGCCGTTCAGCCAGAGACCCCACTGTCGCCACCCACTCCCCAGGCTCGGGGTCTCCGACATTCAGGGCTGTGGACCTAGGCTGCCTCTGACACCCCCAAACCTGGCTACCACCAGTGCCCTGGCCTGGCCTCCTGGACAAGCCTGTCCTGCCCTCTGCCTGTCTCTCTCCACTCCCCACCTGGGCTCTCAGACCCAGCCTGGGGAGCTGACAGGTGGCACCGAGTGACCCAGCGCCGGTGAGGCTGTGACAGCAGCACCGCTGGGAGGGGGTGCCCGCGGACGCAGGAAGGAGCTGGGCTCGGCAGCCCTGGGCCTGGCCTGCACCCCGCCCACCACCAACACCCTCCCCGGAGACCTCCGGGGCCCCCGCTCCCCTGTGCCCCGGTATCCCCAGGCCTGCCCTCGTGTCACTCGGGGCACCTGTGAGGTCAGAGCCATGTTAGCGACTGGCTGCAGTGTGCCTGGGCTGGACAGCCACCAACCCCGTGGTTAGTTTACCAGTGACAGGGACCGGGTCCCACCACTGTGGGCCCGCACTGGAGCCCATCCACGGTGGGGGTGGGGGGGGAACGGAGACCCATGAGACCTGTCACCCAGCCCAAAGGGGGATCAACCCCCCAACCCTCAGGGTGGGTCTCCTCTTCAGAAGCCCCCCACCCGGCCTACCAGCCCTCCCTGCATCCTCACAGCCCTCACCTGCACAGCTCGGTCCCTGCGTCCTCTAGCTCCTGGGGGGACAGGCAGGCCCCAGCTGCCCGCAGTAGCCCAATGATATCCTGATGCCTGCCACGGGAAAGAGTGTGCTGACCACCCACCCGCCCAGGCAGCTTCTGCTCAAGCACGGCAGTGCCTCACCCACCCCCAGCCTGGGCCCCCAACCAGGGCCACTGCCCCCAGCCCCAGCCAGGGCCACCGCCCCCCGACCCCGGCCCCGGGGCCAATGCAATGCCCTGCCACTCATCCAGGTACCTTCTCAGGACATCGAGGGTCTGTGGGGTGGGGCCAGGTCTGAGTGCCCCCCCCCCCCCCCATCTCACCCCATGTTGGAGGGTCCGTCGGCCCTGACTGAGCAGCTCCTCCCCTTGCATCATGAGGCCCCTGCCATGGTCTCCCTCAGCCTGTCCTAAGGGCCCAACGCACCCCTGTGAATACCTGGGGACCCGTCCCAGCCAGGGTTGTGCCTGGGGAAACTGAGTCAATCGGGCCTGCACTCTGCCCTTGGAGGTAGGGTGTCAGTGAGACACTAGGGGGTAAATATGAACAGTAGGGACCCAGAGCAGCGCCCCAATGTCTGTGGGCTCCCCAAGGCCGACCGGCCTGGGCCAAGCCTGGAGACAGCCACTGGTTGTGCGTGGGACATGGGGGTGAGAGGTGGGGCAGGGCCAGGGCGGGGGCGTGGGGGGGGGGGGGGCTGGGGCCACGGGCGGGCAAGGCAAAGGAACAGGGCGAGTGGAGGCTGGCTCTCACAGCAGAAGTGCTGACCAGGCCCCTTGCCCCACAGTGTCTGTGTCCTATAAATGGCATGGTCACCCCACTTTTAGGAAGCCTGGGGAGGAGGGTGGGGCCCCCCAGGCCTTGCCCTCCCCACCCTGAAGAGCCCTCTAGAGCACAACAGGTCTGGGAGCAAGGCCAGGAGAGTGAGGCCGGGAGACCGGTTTGGGGGGGCTGTTGTGCCAGGGGCGGGGGGCGGGGCAGGGACAGTGAGCTCATCACCATCCACCCACACCCAGCCGGATCGCCCTGGCCCCTCACCCCCATCCTGGGAACCCCCCGTGCCTCATGCTCACAAGAGTCTGGTAAAGAGGGTGCTACCCATCATTCCCCTCACCGAGGGTCACATGCCCACCCCAGGGCTCACACAGCTGGGGCACGCAGGACTTGACCTGGACAGTGTGGCGACCCCAGGCCCACGCACCCTCAGCCTCTCTCCAGGAGGCTCACCAGCACTCCCCACACACACCACAAAATAACCCAGGATCTGGCCGGCCAAGTGCCCGTAGGGAGAAATCCTCCAGGAGAAGCTAGGGGTCTGGGCTGGGGGGGTCTGGGGACTGCTCCAGTCACCAGATAAAACAACAAAAGATGAAAAATGAGGACTGTGACCCCTGCCCCCAGACACACACACACACACACACACACACACACACACACACACACAGCCAGGCCAGGACCCCTCCCTTTAAAAAATCAGAGTTGTTGGGTGGGGCCAGCCTGGGGGACATCTTCCCTACCTTGCTGGCTGAGCCTGTCCCCCGAGGGCACCTGTGCCCATCCCAGCCTAACATCTGGCACTAAGTAGCCCGCTTTATGTCTACGACATGCACGTGCTGGGCCGGCGGCTTCTCCCCTTTCCCACCCTCCAGGCCCACAGGTGTGTGTGGACGACGGCAAATACGCATTCAACCCCTTGAGCTTTGTCCGTGAGGATTTTTCTTTCCTAGAAGCTCTGCACCAGGGTCTTGCTGCGCCTGCCTGGCTGAGCTTAGAGGTCACCTCCTCCAGGAAGCCCTCCCTGACCACCCTGCCCATTCAGTCCTCCGTGTCTGGGCCCAAGCATGGTCCCTGCTAGTACCTGCCAGGCTTGGGCGGGGGGGTGTAGGGAGGGGGCAGCGAGGCTCCAGGAAGCAGGTGTCCTCAGCTCTGCCCGGGAAGCTGTGTCACCACAGGCAACAGGGCAGCCTTGTCTAAGCCAGCTGTGCCCAGGTCCGCCCCACATGGCCCAGGTACCTGCCCTTCACCGCCAGCAGCAGCGGGCTCAGTCCGTCCTCATCCCGGGCGCTCACACCCACCCCTCTCTGCAGCAGCATGGTGACCACCTCGGGGTGGCCTCCCCGGGCAGCCGCGTGCAGAGGGGTCTGACCGTTAAAGTTCTCTTGGCTCAGGTCACTGCCCTGGGTGAGGCAAAGGCACGTCACCCACTGAGGGGGCGCTGGGCAGGGGCGGGGAGGGGACGGGAGGGTCGGGGTGCACCCCGGGAGTGGGGCCCGGCACGGCCACCGGCACGCCCTGTAGCGGCAGTAAGGTCCCACCGGCTGGCTGCCCAGCGCGGCAGAGCAGGGCCCCAGGGAAAGGCGGCCCTGCGTCCCCCGGGGCCCGGCGTGGTGGGGCTGGTCCCTGAGGCGGTGGGGGGCCTCACCAGCTCCACAAGTGCCTGCAGCACGTCCAGGTCGCCCGCATGGGCCGCAGCACAGGCCAGGCCAGGAGTCAGAGCTTCCCGCGCTGCATCGGCCTCCTGGGTAGAGGACAGAGGCACCCTGGGACCTCGCCTCTCCCTGGAAAGGAAGGCCCTGCTCCACACGTGGGCAGAACTCCTTCAGGCTGCCTGCCCCCAGCACCGGGAATGCTGTGGGGCATCTAGGGGCTCCCCAGGATGCCAGGGGGCCGGGAAGCCCAGCAGAGACCCCGCAGGCAGCCTCACACCCAGCCCAGCACCCTCGGCAGGGCCCGACCACAGAGCGACCGTATCTCTCGAGCTATCAAGCCCGACACAGCCGCCCTGGTGACAGGCCACACACATCCCGGCCTCTGACCACTGCCTGCCCTGGGCAAGTGGCAGTGAGCACGGCCAGAGCTGTCCATCACAGACCCACCCACCCCCACTCTGAGAGGGGAAACTGTCACACGCGGGGTGACCCCGGGTTGCAGCGCTGCTGTCCGTGAGCTCCCATGCCAGGCCTGGACATCTCGGGCAGAGCGGGGTGTGAGGTGGGGCACCAGGAGGCCCCCAGCACCCCTGTGGGTCTGACCCGGCCTGAACCCCAAACTCTAGACCCGGAAGTATGAGCTCAGCTCCCCTGCCCCTTCCAGGTCCAGGCCCCCGGGCTGGGAAGGTGAAGAGGAGCTTCAAGGTGCTGTACCCGACAGGTGCGGCTGTGGGGCCTGGGCCCCGGTGCTCAGAGCCCAGCCAACCCCGCAGCAGGCGCCCCCTCCGTCCAGCACCCAGGACAGCACGCCCGCCTTGACTCAGGCCTGCCGCTTCCCAGGCAGCCCTGCACCCGGGGCCAGCGCGGGCCGTCAGGAGGCCCGGCCGGTCCAGCCGAGCTTGGCCCCACTGGGTGATGGGGCCACGTTTTGCCCACCATCCACATGTCACCAAGACTCCGCTAAACCATCCCGGCCCCTTCCCACGGGCAGCTCCTTGCCTGAATCCTTGCAAATCCTCCCCACTGCGGACCCCAGCCCTCCACCTGGGTCCCAAACCACACCATGCCTGGTGGTTTTCTGCTCATGTGCTGGCATGATGGGGGCCACGGCTAGTGCCTGGCATGTCCAGAGGCGACCCGCACCTCAGGCCCCCATGTCACACCCCCCACACACACACTGGCCAATACCTGGCTCAGACTGAGGAGCTGGGCGACCCCCCGGCCCAGCGTGCTACAAGTCAGCGAGGGCTGGTGCTCGTCCCCCACGGGCAGTGTCACCTCCCCCCGGAGGTCCCTGGCCAGCAGCTGGAGGAGGAGAACACAGAGAGCCAGGAATGCCCTGTGGCAGGCAGACCACTGGCCCAGGCATCCCTGGGGCACGCGGCGAGGGCTGTCCTGGGCCTGCAACTCCTCAGTCCAGGCTGTATCCCTTAGGCCTGAGCTCGACCCCCGCCAGGTCCCCACGGGCCAACCCCAGCCTCCATTCCATTAGCTCAGGGTCTCCCAAGGAGCCCATCCCCCACCCCCTGCACCGTGGTCACCACCCAGGCTGGCTGTGTCTGAGGTCCCCCTGGGAAGGGTGGGGGACGAGGGGATGTCCTGGGAGCGGTTTGAGGAGCCTTGGCCAGACCGAGGCTCCCCGAGAGAGTGGAAGAACACGTTGTCTGGGCTTGGGGTTGGCAAGGGGTGGAGGGAGCCCAGGCCTCAGAGCTGGTGTTTCCCCGCCACGGGGAGGCCCCGCATCCCTGCCCCCTCCCGACCCAGGCACACAACCCACTGGGCCGGGCCCTCAGCAGCCCTGACACGGGTCCCCATGCCCCCCAGCCCAGGGGGGAACTGTGCCCAAAGCCGAGGGTACACCTGTTTCCTGCTGTCCAGGCTCAGCCCCGGCTGGCCCAGCACGTAGGACAGCTTGGCCATGGCAGCTTCCGACGTCATGTCAAAGCCCGAGACGATGCCAGCTCCCGCCACGGCCTGCGGGGAAGGGGGCACGAGCAGGAAGGGGGGTGCCACTCGCCCTGTGCCCTCGGGCCCATCCCCTCCCCCTCCAGCCCTCCATCCCCGCCCCCACCATGCCGGCTGCGTAGCCAGAGGTCACGGTGCCCTGAAGGCAGTGTGTGCAGTTGACGATGAGGAGCCCTCGCTCGGTGGCGGCCCGGAACTCCCGCAGCAGGTCCGGCTTGGTGGGCCCGTTCCCGCAGCCGAACGTCTCCATGACGACGCCCCTCAGGGGAGGCTGCAGGAAGGCCCGAACCTGCGGGGCCGGGAAGGGACGGGGACGGCCTTGGCCTCTTGCTCCGGCAACAGGAGCCCACAGGCTTGTCCTGCACCTTCGGCTATGGCAGGGACGTCCGGGCTCTGAGCAGGCCACATGGAGAGCCATGAGGGTCTGCTCCCCACCACGCCCTCCCAAGGAAAGGCCTTGTCCCCCGTAAGTGTTTAAGGCTGCGGGTGGTGTGGCTACAATCCGAACGCCCCCTCCAGCGCGCCCCCAGCCTCACCAACCCTCTATCCAACCCCTTATTCCTGAAACATAGCAGGGGCTGCTCCCAGCAAGCCTGTGCCCTGCAGCTAAACACACATGCAGGGCCCCCAACGAGCCCCCCGCACTTCCTGCTTGGCCGCCAGGCTCCACTCAGAAGACGGCGGGCGGGACCTGGGGTCCACCTCACACATGGACGGTCCCCCTGAAGGCCCGGCTGCAGGAACACAGGTTCCCCAGCTCAGCAGTGCCCCATGCTGGGCGCTGGTAAGTGTGGCCCAGACGACCATATCCGTGTCTGAATCTGCCATGCAGGTGGGAACACAAGGGCTGAGCCACTGGCCTGGGGACTGTACTTCTGTGCAAGCATCCACCCCTCTGGCTGTGTCCCCCGTCAGAGCCCTGACCCCTCATCAGAAAGGCTGAGTCCAGCTCCCTCTGCTTCTCCAGGTAGAGGTCAGAGGTGACTGCACCCTGTCCCTGGTAGACACCCACCGGGGATGGGGAGGCGACGCCCCGAGACGCACCGCAGGAAGCAGGCCCCGCCCCGAAGGCCCAGCTGCCCCCAGCAAGCAAAGCCCCCGGGGCCCTTTCCCCTGCACAAGCCTCGCCCAGCTTTGTGGGGTGGGGGCAGGGCTGGGGAGCCAGCTCCATGGCCCTTCATTCCCCCAGCTATGGTGAGTTCTAGGAATTTCAGAGGCCCAGCACGATTCTCCCTGAAGGGTCCAGTGTGGCTCAGCCCCATTCAACCTGGCAGCCTCGGACAGTGACACACAGAGACTACATATGTGAGACCCACCCAGGCCCGCACCTGTCCCCTGGTGACAGTCCCTCACGTGGGCCCCCACCCCCCACCCCCCCGCACTCCCCGCCGGTCCAGCCCGACCGCCAGTGTCAGCTCCTGGGACAGCCCTCATTTTCGAGACCAACCGTTGGAGGAGCAGGCTCCAGCCCAGGGAGGCCACGAGGCCCAGCCCCAGGGCCTCGAACTGCCTCCTACTCTGAGGGTCTCTGCCCTTCAGAGGGGCCTGGGGAGAAAGGACCCTCGGGGACCCTCGGGCTACGGGTGACACAGAGCACAGCGGTGGCAGGACGGCAGGGGGCACATACACGGGGCGGGGCCCCGCTTCTGGTTGTAGGACAGGGGTCCTGGTGCGCGTGGCCTGCACACCCTGGCTCCCCGCAAGAGCTTCCAGCACCATCTCTGGTCCAGTCTCGGGGAGGCCACCTGAGCTACAAGGGCGGCCCCCCCCCCGTCCTTCCTACCGGATCTTTCACTGCACTGAGTACATGTCCCACGTACCGTGGGACGCTGTCCTAGGCCAGGCCCGGGACCAGCACGGGGGACACATGGTGGGAAGACCACCCCGTCTGTCCCCAGTGCAGTTGAGGGGGTCAGGTACCGGTTCACAGACTGTGAGCGACCCAGAGCCCAGGGCACTAGCCCACCAGGCCACCCTGTGTGCGGGAACGTACCCGCGAAGCCGCATCTGCCCATGGTGCCTGGCTGGTCACAGCACTGGGCCCAGCACCCACACCCCGGCTCGTGGCCCTGCGATGCCCAGAGGTGCCTTCAGCTCAGACACCCTCTATGGGATGGGCCACGTGGCATCTGAGCCCAATTCACAAGGCAGGCCGCAGTCAGGCGCCGTGTCTACCCCAGTGGCAGCTGGTGGCCGAGGGGTCATGAGCAGGGAGCACACGGAGGACGGGGCAGAGCCGCCACAGAAGGAGCAGTCTTAGGGCCACGCCCCCCGCGGCCCTGCAGGAACCCGGGCCACGAGTCCACAGGCATCCACGCGGTCAAGCCCGCGTTGCAAATGAGGGAAGACCGGGCCCCGAAGCCCCAGCGGAAGAGGCAAGGGAGGGGTGCAGGTCTTGGGGACACGTGCAGCTTCAGCACGCCAAGGGGCCTGCGTGCCCGGGCCCGCGGCGGGGTGGGGGACGGGAAGGGGCGGGGCAGGACACAGGATGCGGGGGAGTGCGGAGGGCGTGCAGGGCTGGGCGGGTCCCTACCAGGGCAGCGGGGATCCCGGGGTAGAGACGCAGCAGCCCCACGTCACGCTCCACGCTGCTGTGCACCACCAGTCGCTCCTTCCCTCGGACCTTCCGCACCAGCTCCCGGTTGACTGTGAGGGCAGAGGTACACGCGTGGCACCGCTGGGCCACCGGACAGCCGACACCCCCGCACGCACTCGGCCCCAGCAACGCCCACGGTGCGTTCAGCCCCTCAGGCCCTCCGTGTTGCCCGGCCTCGCTCTGGGTGTCTCCAGAGCCCCGGCCCTCTCGCCGCCACCCTGCCCGGCCCCCCCCCCCCCCCCCCCCCGAGGCAACTCCTGCGGGCCCTCAGCTCACTCTTAGGTCGGGTGCAGCCCCAGCCTGCGCCGGCTCTGCAGTGGCTCGGAGTCCGGGGCACAAAGGAGGACCC